CGAATTTGCTCTCATACTCAGAAAGTTCTGTATCTCCCTGTGCCAGTTTTAAAAATTTCGTCTCCTTGTGATCTAGCATAGCTTGTAGGAAAAGCTTTTCTATTAGCATAAACTCTGCACATAATACTTTTTAAATTTTTGGGAAAGAGATGTGCCGAAAAATCTTCTTAATACTATGCAACCACTCCTCAACTGCTAGAGGATCATTTCCACCATCAATGGAAGTTGGTCAATATCTACGAAATTCTTCTACCGTCGGAACAGGCGGTGCAGTTGGGTATGTTGGTGGCACCAGCGAAGCTTGTGGAACTAGTGAAGCTTGAGGTGCTGGAGGTGTAACCTGAGCAGCTTGATGTGCTATAGGTATAACCTGAGCAGCCAAGGCCTGTTTCAACTCATCAATCTCCCGCCTTAACTCCCTAACTGTCCTCACTTGTGCCATATTTCTATATGCCAGAATAATTGCAATCTCATTTAAAGGATTCAGTGATATTTGCGCAAAATAGGAAAAAGATTCATAGCTCAACATTCTTTATTATTGTCTCATACAAATCCTTTAGGAGACAAAAAAAAAATAGTAAAAGATCGCCTAGCGCCATTCCACAGCATTATAAAAGAAATTCTACTAAACATCAACAACAATTAAACCTGATAAAAACTACTAAAATTCACTATTCATCATTGCCATCATAATCATTAATCCAATCTCCATGAATCCTAGGTTTCTTAGGAAACTAAACCTCATAGTCTGAAATAAATGGAGGTGCATCTTCACGAATGTGCATTTCAGTAGGTGTTTGTCTTTGGGGATCTTAAGATGGGCCAGCTCCCACCGTTCAATTAGCTCTATGCAGAAGGCCTTATAATCAATCTCTCGAGGTAAGGTAGGCATTGCAACCTCTCATAAATAATTATAAATTGATTCGGCTACCTCTAGCCACTCTTCTGGCAAAGTCTCAATAAAGAGGTGGACGGCTCGATGACCAGGGACCACATAGCCTAGTTGTCTCACTTCCCTCCATCTTACTAACATCTCCCAAATGTGTTGGCCCATGTTGTGCATTAGATTCCACCGATACTCTTCATATTGCCTCAAGATCTCATATCGATGAGGCACAATGAACTCGTCTTCCTACAATTTTTATTAATCCGTACCAACTGAGTCATATCAATTATTCAAAGTCCAATAAGTGGGTGTTTAAAAAGTTTTAGTTAATTTTCGAGGACTTAAACAAACATTTAATCTCGTCATGCTCTCAAAAATACTTGGTACATTACTAATTATCTACAAAAGGTATTCAAACTATATGCTGATATTCATACATACATTTCAAATATTGCATCTCAAATAAACTTTCTCATAATCATTGCATAGATGCAATCACATTTGTGAATCTTTCTTTACCTCAAAATTTGCATGGCGCAGCATGGCACGCACAGTGCTCATGATCCTCATTAGAAAAAAAAAATTGTTCAACTTATATGTGACACAATATTCTCAAGATTTACTTTCCAATGTGAGTCTACAGAAAATGAACCATTACTCTGATAGCAAGTTGTAACGCCCCGAATGTTTGGAACCCAAAGCGTTAAAAATAATCGATCTTTCTTTGATTCGACCTCTTTGATGTTAACCAAAATAACTTGTAAATTAGAAAGTTTTTGGATTTTGAAACATATTAGAATATAATGGTAGGTAGTTATTCATATAAACTTAGGCAATTATGACGAAATTTGGTTTTGGAAAACAATTGGAGGCAATTCAGCAACTACGGATAGAATAACAGAGGAAGAAAAATATATTTGGCCTAGCAAATGTCTATCAAAAATTATGAAATTTTTAAAGGGACTAAAGAATTCATATATGTACCATATTTAAAAATTTTGGGGCTTGATAATAATGTTTGAAGCACTAACATATTGCTCGAATATGCTATATAGCAAACTCGGATTCGAAACGACGCCATTTACCAAAATGAAAATAACTTTTTCTTTAGCTAATATTTTAAGGTAATTCCAAAGGAAACTATTAGAAGACTTATAGACCTTTCAAAGGCTACTGATTTCACTCTAAAATATGCAAAGTAGACCAAATTATACCATTTTCAAATGGAAGACGGAATCTGAAATTATAATCGACAGTAAATAAACTTCAGTCATAGTCATTCCAATGTTTCCAAATTATGGTTGACATGAATAGCATATAAACTGAATGAAACATATGTTTAAACATTTTTAAAAATGCCGCCTAATTATCCATAATACGTTTACATAAATTGGAAATTTCACTAGAAAGTTGAAAGTTTTTTAGATTGCCGAGCACTTGCCACTTTGCCAAATCGCCGCCATGCCACAAATCAACCTATGAGATTATAGTGGGTGTGAGTACTACAAATAATACTCAGTAGGAAGACACTAGAGTAAATGATAAAATATATATATGTTTTCAGAAATGCAAACTTTGATTATTCGTGTCATCGTCAATTTCTCTATCATTTGAACAACAAAACAGTGTTTTCTTCATGAGTAACACAATAATAGTGTCACCTTCAATATCCTTCTCTTATTTGAGCCACCAAACGGCGCCTCCTTCATGAGTGACACACAATACGTTTGATGCAAAACGAAAACAAATAATTCTTAAACCACTTACACTAGTGAACACCCGTACCTTAATGCTTGAAGTTTGAATATCCTTTCGTGCCAAAGAAATAAAATGCAGCTTACTTCTTGCCTATTCTTTAGAAATTTTAGATTCAAAGTACTTTATATTGATGAACGAAAAGGTGAAATAACTTTATGCACCGGTATAACGGTTTGGGAGAGGAAACTTGGCTTTAGAAGTTATAAGAGTTTTCAAATGCAAAAGAATGATGGCAAATTGCAGTAACCAAAATCAAAGTAAAGGCAAATGGTTGTGGAATATCAATTATGGGTATAAAATGGTGGACGTTCAAGTTACTTTTCAAATGTAAAGACAGCAGTTTTTGTTTTAAATTTCAAGTGAAAGTGACAGTTGGCAAGGTATCAAAATGGGACAATTTTATTTTAAATTCCAGGTGAAGTGGTGGTGCTAATATATTTAAAATGAGAGTTACAAATCTTTAAATGCAATGGTGGTGAAAATTGTATTTAAAATTGGAGGTTACAAAAGTAAGCGGGGAGGTAATGTAAAGTCTTAAATTGATGGATGGGGTCGGCAGGTTAACTTCCCAATTTTATTAAATGGCAGTTTTATATTTACCTGGGCAGTTGCCAAAATGGGTTTTAAAATGGTAATATTGAATAGGGACGTGTTGTGTTAATCTCCCAATTTGATCACATGGCAGTTTTTTTTTTTTTTTAGTGGGTCTAGAAACAAAAGACATGGAAACTAGTATGGTAAGTGCCAAGTGGGGAGTTAATGGATACAATTGGAGTTGTAATTTTATTTTCAATTGAATGATCAGGGATGGTTTTGGCATTGACAAAAATGGAAGTTTATTAAAATGGTAAGTTGGAGTATAAATGGTGGATGATGAAACATGCAAGTAAACTGTCCAATTTAAAAAAAAAAAAGTAGATTACAAAATGGAAATCAAAATGGTAGTATTAAAATAAAATGTGTCGTAAGAAAAATAATGTAACCAAATTAAAATAAAATTTTGTCGTTAAAAATCGATTTTAACACCTTGTAAAATTTAAGAAAATCAAATACGCGAAATTTTACTTTCGTGACCAAAGTTTAATTTGGACTATTAGGAAGTGTCGTAACGACATAATAATATAACTCAAATTAGATTTGAGTCCTATAAGAAAATTTTATTTTGAAACGAAGCAAAACACTTTTTTTTTTCAGGTCGCTACACTATTTCAGCGACTTCAAGATTTTTTTTGACATAACCATGCAGTAGCATGGAAATATACCATGCGATCGCATGGTAGAATCCGAGACGCAATTTTTTTGCTTCCATATTCCGTCCAACAACTTATGGAAACAAATCCTTTCACCATATAGAAACCCAAAACTTGTCCAAGAAGGGATAGAACAGACACCATAGACTTTTCTTTCTTTTTGCTTAAGGATTATTGATATATTGCTAAACTTCATCTCTTGGTCGAAGAATATTGAAGCCTAGGAATTATTCAAACTGTGAGATCTAAATAAATTTCTTTGTTTTCATTCATATTTTATGTATTAAGTATTCTTCTATGCATGATTTTATGGTTGTTGTATTTGACTTCTAAGAGGCCTATTATATGTTCATGTACTTTGATCGACTGCTTGTTTGAAGAACAAATACGCAATTGTTTGATATCTTTGACATATGAAGCAATTAGAGTTTGATTAATCGCTGCTTTAGAGGTTACTAAATTCTAGAGATGATATTTGACTAGATTAAATATGACCGCTTGTGATTGTGTTGTTTAATTTCATCGATTTCTCTAGTTTCCCATACTATTATTAAATTAAATTTTAAGTACTTTTCTTGAGTTATTTGATAATAAGGATTGATTGGATCACTTATTTTTGGGTTAATTACAACTAAGGAGAAATAAGAAATATAAATTGCAACGATGAATGTTAAAAACATGAATTGGTAATAAGTTATGGATCTACGATAAGTTCAAAATTCCTACGGTGGATATTGACTTAGACCAATGTTCGTTATATTGATTTCATCCAATTTATTAAATCGCATTGCTTTTAGTTAGAATTGATTTCATCACAAACAAAACCCCCCATTACTGTTAACATTGCATAAAATTTGACTAATCACTCTTCGTCAGAACAATCCTTACTTCCACTATTACATACATTTTTTTGGAATTGTAGGTTTTATTATTTTTGGGCGCCTGCGACAGCATGCCATTGACAAGATGAGCCTTATATCTCTCTGCATCACCTTTCAAACCCCTTTTGGTCTTAAATATCCATTTGCAACCAATGGGCTTTGTACTTTCGGGCAATGGAACAATGTCCCACACGTCATTGTCCTTCATGAACTTTATCTCTTCATTCATAGCATCGAGCCACTTTCGAGAGTTAAACTTTCCATAGCTTGACGGAAGTTGATCGGATCATCTTCCATCATTCCAATGTTAACTTCATGTTCTTGGAGAAATACGATGTAATCATCTGAAACGGCACTTCTCCTCCCTCTAGTGGATCTTCTTGATGGCATTGGTTCTTGAGGCTATAGAGTTTGCTCTTCTGGAATGATTTGTTAACTTTGAAAGTTAGATACGACATTATCTTGATCCGAAGTTGTTTATTGAACAATTTCAAGGATAGAAACCTGATCATTGTCAATGGCAATTAGGATAATTTCAACATATTCCTCCTTAAAGACAAAGCGTGTAACCCTTTCTCTCCTCACAAACTTAACATCCTCAATGGACCTAGCATTTCCTGTCTTGTAAATTTCCTTAGTTGTGGGATCATAAAACTTGTAACCCCTGGACCTTTCGGAATATCCAATAAAGTAGCAAATGATGGTTTTTGCGTCCAGTTTCTTTTCATTTGGCTTATAGAGCCTTGCCTCAACTGAACATCCCCAAATGTGTATATGTTTCAAACTAGGCTTCTTACCCATCCAAAGCTCATAAGGAGTTTTATCAGTGGCCTTAGTTGGAACTCTGTTGAGTATATATGTTGTAGCCTTTAATGCTTCACCCCAGAGAGATTCTAGTAAGGTAAAATGACTAATCATACTCCTCACTATGTCTTTAAGTGATCTATTTCGTCTCTCAGCAACGCCATTCATAGTGAGCCAACCTAGCATAGTGTACTAAAAGACGATACTGCATTTCTCTAGGAATTTGGCAAATGGCCCAGGACGTTGTTCACTTGAACTATCATATCTGTCATAGTATTCACTCACGATCAGAATTGACGCTTTTGATCCTTTTGTCGAGTTGGTTCTCAACTTCAGTTTTATAGTTTTTGAACACATCCAAAGAATGTGATTTTTCATAAATGAGATATATATAGTCAAATCTTGAAAAGTCGTCTATGAACGTTATAAAATATTGCTGACCATTCCAAGAACCTATAGGGATTGGTCCACAAATATCCGTATGTATAAGTTCTAAGACGTTCGAAGGCCTGTTAGCTTGAAATTTCCTTTTATTGGTTTGTTTTCCTTATATACAGTTGACACACAAATCATAATCTGTGAAGTCAAAGGGGTCGAGAATCCCATTAGACACATGTCTTTCAATTCTCCTCTTGAATATGTGACCTAATCTCTTGTCCACAACAAGGTAGAATTCTCGTTGGTTAATTTTTACTTTAGACCTCGAGTACTTAAATGCAAAATTTCATTAAAAGAAGCAATTTTATTAATTGAATAAAGATTATTGTAACCTGATAAAAAATCTGAGCCAATCAATTTTGAATCATGAAGTAAACTAAATTTTTCATTCCCAAATGAACAAGAATAACAAATTTTGTCTAAAGCAGAAATAGAAATCAAATTTTGTCTAAAAGATGGTACGATAAATGTCTCATCAAGATCCAAACAAAATCCAGTCTTTAAGAATAATCTAAAATTTTTCCTATTGCCTCTACTTCTACCGTCTTGTCGTCGCGAACATAAATGTATATTTCACCATTACTTGATTTTCAACAACTCAGGCAACCTTGCATAGACATACTGATGTGAGTTGTTATACCAAAATCTATACACCATGTATGTCTAGGTATTGAAATTAAATTAACCTCAGAATAAACCAAATCAAGAATACCTTTCTTTACACGTCAAGCGTGGTGATTGGTGCAATTTTTCTTCATATGACATGCGGCTCCACAGAAGAAACAACCACCTTCAGTTGATTCCTTATGTTGTTTCTTTTGCAATGTTGTACCCGCATCTTCCTTATCAATTTTCCGTTTCTTGTTCATTTTATCCCTGGACACAGTGGCTAAATGAGCATTCTCTGTCTTCTCATGCTTCAATCTTTCCTCCTCCTAGACACAGTGTAAGATGAATTCACTAAGGGACCATAAGTCCTTTTGACAATTTTAGCTCACCTTGAATTAGCTGAAATGTGTCGGAAGGGATATCAAAACCAAGTGCACTAACAAGTCTTCAGATAAATCCAACTTGAGTTCCTTTAGTTTTGAAGCAATGTGAGATATTTTCATAATGTACTCCCGAATGTTTCATTTTCCTTTATACCTCATTGAGACAAGGTTTGCCAAAAGTGTACTTGTTTCAACCTTTTCATTCTCAGCAAACCTCTTCTCAAGATCCTCAAAAAATCTTTAGCTGTAATCACCTTATCGGACATAATGCCCCGGAATGCTTCTGGAATAGCACACTTCATGACCATTAAGCTTATGCGTTTCGTTCTTTCCCATTTTTCCATCTCTTTATCATCAGAGGTACTCTTATCAGTAAGTGCAGCAGGGTGATCGACCCATAAAGCAAGGTCTTGACTATGAGAGCAATCATCACGTTCTCTTACCATGCCCTGAAATTTGTGTCATTAAGCATTCGAATTGAATTGATGCTAGCAGAGATATTGGCAGCAAAACCTGAAATTGAATTAGAGAATGATTATTACAAATAGCTCACATGAATATCTTTAATATGCAAATAATAATATTCTCAAACAGTGATAGAGTCCATCACAAGATACCTAGCACAACATCAATATCTGGTCTTTAGACAGAAATATTGATTTGTAAGTGGTACTCTTGGCGTAGTGATCAAACATTGACGATAAAACAATATATCAATCAATAAACATTTCTTGGACTGATTTATTGCTCACACGTTAAGCCAAATAATCGTCATAAGTTTATCACCACAGATGCACGTACAGTTCGGCTAAATATTGACCTTCCTTGGACTGATCAATATTCTCATGAATAACATACACACAAACACCTTGCTTTGCAATTTGACCAAGGTATAGCTATGCAAGAAAAATTATCCCAACATCAATATTACAAAAATAAATAAATAAATTTATCCTTTTCCTAAAGTTTATAATAATGGTCACTTAGTCGCCCGTGGGTATGTGTGTATATATATAAGAAAAAAGGTTGCATGGGCGAGACGGGGCGGTTTGTCAATTGATATTACTCTCTCTCTCTCTCAATATTTCTTTGCTGAAAAAAAGACATAAATAAGAATCTGTACAAGGCCTTGTCTTCTCATAAAGAATCAGTAAACTGTAGGATAATTTATCCCTTAATGCTCTGACCAATTAAACATAGGAATGAAGTCTTCGATAACATAAATCTTCACTAGAAAGAGAAGCAAAAATAAATAAATAAAAGAGAAACCTTTTGATTTTCTGTTGGAGGAAAAAGATTCTGTTTTCTTTCAAAAAAGTTTCAAAGAATTTCTCTACATTTCCATTTGAATCCATTGTAGCTCTTGACTGGATTAAAATAATCCATTTTTGCCCATGAAATTATAAGAAATATTTATATACTCTTAACCACTGAATTATTAATTACAATGTAACATAGACTAATAAAAAAATTTCATCCACTGCTCTATAGATGCAAGTGGAGATTCCATTAAGCATCTCGTTTTGGTTCATCCAATATATTCCCAGCTTTTGATCCTGCAGTAATATTTTGTTCATAAAAGTATTGATTATTATGATAATGCAACGCTTATTACTAATGAATTTGGGTTGGATACATGAATGATTTTTAATGAGTTCAATATTAAATCTCGTGTGAAAGATTGATTAATGTAAAAGTTACAGTATAATTAGTATCCGAAAGATCAAGTCGCGAATAATTAATTAAAAACTGATACCTATTTACGAGAGAATGAAAATATAGTTGAGAAAACTATCAAAATATGCACACAAATTATAATCGTGTTTTGCTCAACCTTAGAGGTACATCCGCTTCACTGTTGTGAGTTTTCATTACAAAGTAATCTCGACATCTCTCGATCTAGCAAACAAAAAACCCGGCTTCCTTTGTATAAGAAAATATTAAATGCAGTTCGACACAAGTTTGTTATGCATAGTAAGATTTAATTACGCACTTGTTCCCATAAAAATATGTTTGCTTCTATTTTCACACAAATTAAGAAAAATGGAAATTGTAGTAACGGTTCCTAACCTTTTTCATTTTTTACAGACTTTACCCTAACCTTCATTTTGTGTCAGCGAATATTCCTAACATTTCATAAATATGCAATTGAAGTCCATCTTGACGGAAATCGTCTAAAACAACGTCAGTTGATCGGGAAAATTCCTTGAACTATTTGCTACCATGACGACTTTATTGGATTTTGATACTTTTTTGGACGGTGTTTTGGACGGTTTTATTGGATATTAATTTCTTAATTTTTCATATTAACTGATGGTGTTTTAGACGATTTCCGTCCAAATGGACTTCAAGTGCATATTTATGAAATGTTAGAAATTTTGAATGGCACAAAATGAATATTAGGATAAAGTCTGCAAAAAATAAAAACGTTAGGGACCACTGCTAAATTTTCCCTAAGAAAAAAGTAATTGATGTAGTTGGAACAATATATTTTACTTATATTTCTCCTCATATACTTCTTCGTCAATAATTGTTTAAGTATTAATAGTTCATATGTATTGATAACAAGACAAAGGACATATTAAAAAATTAATAAATAAAAGTTACCAATAATTTGAGACATACGGAAAAGAAAATCAAGTTTATCTTTTTGGGACGAAATGAATAGCCACGTTCTCCTAACTATAGATTTTAACTCTAGTTTCATTGAATATGTCAACAAGAAATCATTTGAAATTCATAATTTGATAATACTGTATCTTCACATGATAAAGAAAGAAGAAGATAATCTTTTCTTCAAATCTGTTGGGCTCTGTATCTTCACATGATAAAGAAAGAAGAAGATAATCTTTTCTTCAAATCGGTTGAGCTCGATATCCGCTGAACAGATTCGCATGTCATTGCAAAACAATAATCCTCCGGTCCAATAAGAATATAAATAGAATAGGTTATGGATCCTTTGATCGATCTTGATTATGACAAATTGTTCCATATCATAATTATTAATCCCATTCTTATTCCTTGTTTGGAGGAACCAATCTCGATTTTTAGAAACCTTAAACCTTGTTGGCTTTTGCTATATAAGGAGGTGTTGCACCATTCTTTTTATACAAGAAACTTCTCCATCTCGCACCAGTCCTATGTTTTCATATTTATTCCGAGGAGTAGACATGGCGTGATATTGCTTTTGGCTCAGCACTTTCTGTTGAATTTGCATGAACAGTTGGGCGATGAGCCGAATCAATATCACTCTTGTATGCTTCTTTGCATCAAATCAGCAAGCCTCAGGTAATGTAGACAGTTTCACTCTCTCGGATATTTTCGATATTTTCAATGGTTTCAGACTACATAAAACTGTGTAGATCCATAATTTCTTGAAAAGGGGTGAATAGCGATTGTGAGTAGAATCAGTAGTTCGGTTCCTGACTCAAGGAGTGAAAGCCGGTTCGGTAAACATTCCTTTATCAAGTACGCTCATAAATCAGGCACTTCGTTTTCTGTCATTTCGTTTTAATTCCTATAATCTTCATAATTCATCTCTTCAATGAATACAGATTACTGATGCATTTCGAGCATCAGGAACCACCATGATACGAAAAAAAGGAAGTTAATTTCAGATTCAACAATATTTTTAATATTCCCATGTTAAAGATGTCTTTCTTTTCTGAATTCTTTGGTTAAAATGTTGTAGCTTATGGAGGTAGCTTTGATCCGTTCATGGCACAAAGTAGATACAAGATGAGATTTGACATGGACACGCAAAGCCAGAAGAAAAGAACAAGAAACATTACAGTTATGGAGAATTAAGGAAGTGCTTCCAACCTTACAAACGGTTTAAGCTTTTAGACGATGTTGATCCGAGCAGAGGACTCGAGTTCAAGAAATCGTATTTGTCTGGCCTCAGTGAAACTGCAACTGACGGTACTTTGGAGTCGTAATTAATTTCATATCTGACCCTCTTTAGAATTGCTGGTTCCACATGATACCAAAGCTGAAATAAACCATTCTTGCTGCATAGTTTCTGTCATTTTGTGCGGAAGACTTTTAGAATCATAAAACAAAAATATCCCGCAGATACTGAGTGAAAATGAAAGCATTACCAAAGAAATTGTCTTGGAGAAGAAACATATTGGCCCGGCGGCATTCTATATATACTATACAGATGGACTGATGGAGTAAAAATAAAAATACACTTACCTACCATCTTGAATACGTTGTACTAACTCCGTTTCAAATCACGGCTAGTCTGCCATTAATTTGTCTGATTGCAGAATTGGTCTACCATTAAGTGGTCCCTGATTGAAGAATTATCTTTCTTGTAATATTCAAACAGCCGAAAGCATAATTTACTTCAGAGTGACTTTTATGTTTTTATTTGTTGAAATGGTCCAACTCCTCGGAGAGAATTAGCAGCATTCTTTTAAAATAAATTTCGGGTAAAAAATTCTCACTTTAAATTATTAATTTTAAGATTTTTTTATGTCATTGAATCACTTTGTATTCACAATTGTGTTGTATACTCTAAATGGTTAAATACAACAATCCGATCGGTGAAGACAAATATAAATATTGGACAAAATAGTTTTTCTTTCCCACTCGAACTAATCCCTCAACTTTAAATAGATTTCTTCGACCTCAATTCTCCGAATTGGTCACAAATTCGATTAGCCAGATTTCATTAGAGAGCATTGAAGTTATTTTGCTACGGTGAGTACTCTGTAAAATTTCACCAAGTACTGTTTTTCAATTCAATTTTAAAAAATAGTTTTAAATTATATTACCATTGTTGAGTCATTGCAGAAGAAGATTTACAATCGCTGACGATGCTTAGTCGACGTTCTCTAATTATCGTTGTGTTTCTCCTTCTATCTCTACTATTTGAGCTAGCGATGCTCATTCATCATAGAGCGATGATCAGTTTTTCATTGAAGAAGTTGCCCGCAATGGAGGGGATAATGATGAGCGGGGTGCGCAAGAATGGGTGTTGGGGGTGGGGGACGATTGTTTGGTGGGGTGGCTGTGGGTAAAATAATTTAATTTGATAATATTATTATTTAAAATTAAAGTATTAAATTAACACTTGCCTTTTGTATTTTTAAATTTAATGTCTACAAATTGATTTGGTACATACATAGCCCCAAATATGTGTAAATTAAAATCAGATTTTTAATAGATTTTGATAAAAGTTGATGAAATGTATGGTTGAAATATTGTGGACCCATAAAATATGTAGTTAAAATTAATTTTTGACTTCGACTTAAAATTAAAATCAGATTTTAATTAAATACAAACAAGGGTTTAATACTTTGACTTCTGATTTTCTCCCAAACAGAAAAGACCAGTCGTATGATGCCACAAAGATGGAACATTTTGAGAATCAATGGACAGTATTGTTATCGATTAAAAGAAATAAGCTGTTTCACCTATAGAGCAATTAATAAAGAAAAATAAATTTAAGTAAAATACGCATTAAACCAACAATCTTATCAAGATAACAACGTGAATTTCATTATTAGAATGAAAAATGTGAGATATATATGCGTGTGTGTGATCCCTCAAATATCAGTGTTAAGCTTACGATTCACCAATTAAATGGTGTGACATGTCATCAGTACTTAACATAAGCTAAGTATCGGATCATTTCTGTATATATATATAAACACGCATTTCCAAACAAGCCCTTGAGAAAATACCAGTCATGCGCGCACTCTAGTGACGTATCCGTTTACTTGATCGTTGACTCCTTAAAACAGTCCAAATAGTTGCAAGGACCAAGCAATTCCGGTCCACCGAGAAAACCGCGTGATTTTATCCCAGAAGCATGTTTGGCTACGTTTCGGAAGCTTTTTCTCAAAGGTAACTTTTGTTAAGCTTGGCCAGCTCTATTGCAACAACCCAGAGAATCTAACAAAATTAAGACTATTCAGAGGGCTTATCACGACAGGTACTTGTTGCTACTGCTATGGTTTAAATGATCTTCTAGTTGAAAAATATGAAATTTCATGCAAATATATATATGCCTAATAGCTGCTTGAATTTTGATGATGTTAACGAGTTTAGGTTACTTTATGTTGGGTTCATTGATGTAAAATCTCAAATCGGTTAAATATGGAAATTAAAAACGATAATCAAGAGGCTCAGGCTACTATTTTTGAGCTTTTCAGATGAAATCCAAGACTTGATAGGGTTCTTTGGATTTGATTCAATGGCTTCAGTGATATCTGTTGTACTTATTATGATTCCTGGATGAATAAATTGGTCAATGATAATTATGGGCAAAAAATGAAATATAGGGTGGATCTTAAGTCTTGGTCATTGCGATGATCATTGATTCGTTGTTACTGGTTATCAATGTTCATCACAGAGGGAAACTCTTGTTGCGTGTTTGGTAATGTGGATTAGAAACGATGGCATAATTGTAGAAGTTAAAATATCGTCCATTTATACTATCCTCTGATACTTTGTACCAAATATGCAGTTGATCTTTACTATGCTTTCTTCTCATTTTTCCTCTTCTCTTGCTTTGTTATTAGAGTATAGATGGCCAGAATGCGGACTTTTTATCGGGTGTAAAGTTTAGCAGTTGATAAACAAATGATTAGAAGTTGAGGAATTTTTCATTTGTCTGTATTAAACATGGCAAGCAATGTAGTAGATGCCTCCCCCAGTGTGCCTTCCAACATTCTTCTTGTTACTGCAAAATTCATATTTGAAACAGTAGATTCTGCCAGACGAGCTGTCGTTCAGAAGGAGAATTTCGAAAAATTCTCATCCCACTTGGAAAGGACTGCTTTTTTCCTTAAAGAACTCTCCATGTTTGAACTAAATGATTTTGAGAGATTACATGGTGTCATTGAGGATCTTAATCTGGAGATAAAAGTCGCCAAGCAACTAGCGTCTGAATGCAGAAACCGGAACAAAATTTATCTCTTCTTAAATAGCCAGAAAATCATAGATGAAATAGAGAAAAGCACAAAGAATATAAGTAGGCTCATGAGCCTCTTTACTCCAGAATCTTTGAACGTTTCATCAGAAATAACTGAACAGTTAAGGACACTTTGCAAGAACATGTTAGATGCTGAATACCAACCAGCTGCCATAGAGGAAGAAATTTTGCAGAAGATTGAAAGAGGAATAGAAGAGAGAAACGTTGATCGATCTTACTCGAATAATTTGCTCATTTGTATTGCTGACTCTGTTGGAATCTCAAGTGAGCACTCTGAAATTAAGGCAGAATTTGAAAATTTTAAGAATGAAATGGAGAACAATGAGTTAAGGTCCGATTGGACAGAGGATTTACGGATGGAACAGATCATACTATTGCTTGGTAAGGCAGATATGGTTATGACTCCTAAAGAAAAAGAGACGAAGTACTTTAACAAACGTAATTCCTTGGGTCGGCAGCTGTTGGAACCTCTTCAATCATTTTATTGTCCAATAACCGGGGATGTCATGGAGGATCCAGTTGAGACTTCCTCTGGCCATTCTTTTGAGCGAACAGCAATTCAGAAGTGGTTAGAAGACGGACATGACCTCTGCCCGCTAACTAAGACTCCCTTGAACAAATTGTCGCTGCGGCCCAACAGAACTCTTCACCAATCCATTGAAGAGTGGAGAAATCGAAACACCATGATTAGCATTGCTTCCATGAAACCCGAAATCCAGTCGAGCAATGAGGAAGAAGTACTTCAATGTTTGGAGAAGCTGCATGACTTTTGCATAGGAAGTGAGTTGCACCGAGAATGGATGGTAATGGAGGATTATATACCAATTATCACAGGTCTTCTCTGTACAAAAAGTCACGAAATAAGACTTCTTGCTTTAACTATCCTTTACTGCCTTGCAAAGGATGCTGATGATAACAAGGTAAATTTTCGGCACTTGTTCCTAATTTATATTTAACATATGTCTATTACACCAGAACTCTGATTTCGTCTCAGGAAAGAATTGCAAAAGTAGATGATGGGATCAAATATATTGTTCGGTCACTTGCACGTAAAATTGAAGAAAGCACGATGGCACTTAAATTGCTTTTAGAATTATCAAGAAGCAGTGAGGTTATGAACTTCATCGGGAATGTTCAGGGCTGCATACTTCTACTTGTAACTTTGGTGAATAGCGATGACACACAAGCAGCAAAATATGCTCAGGAGGTTTTGGATAATCTTGCATTCCTAGATCAGAATGTTATACAAATGGCGAACGCAAAATATTTTGGACCTCTATTGCAGCGTCTTTGTGAAGGTAATATCTTCAACAGTGCCCTGTTATCAGGTGAAATCTATAGGATAATTTTCGGCTCTCAATATTTACCTATTTAGCTTATGAATCGTACCAAATAACTGACTATAAACTGTGACTGCTATCCAAAAGATGTTATTTCGTTTTCTTAACAGACTACATAATTGGTACAGGACCCATAAGCACACAGATGATCATGGCAGAAACCTTGGCCGATATGGAGCTGACAGATCACAACAAGATCGATCTCTTTAGAAATGGGGCACTGAAGCCACTCCTTCAAATGCTCGTCCTTGATGCTGAAGAGTACAAGGCAGTAGCAGTTAAAGCTCTTGAGAACCTCTCAAGTGTAGCACAAAATGGTTTGCAGATTATCAGAGAAGGGGCTACACAGCCACTGTTTGAACTTCTCTTTTGTCATACCTTAACGTTACCAAAATTGCGTGAACGGGTAGCAATAATTTTCATGCATCTATCTATATCAACCACTGTCCAAGAGGCTTCTGAGGATCAGGTTTTGCTTTTGGAAACTGAGGAGGATGTTTTCAAACTATTTTCGCTTATTTCATTGTCTGGACCTAATATGCAACAAACGCTCCTCAGCACCTTCCTTGAAATATGCAAATCCCCTTCCGGTTTTAATATCAGGACTACCTTGAGACAGGTGAGCATCTTCCTTATTAAAATTCAGGTGCACGTAAACAGAATTTCATAGGTGAATACTCCATAACTAAAATTTGACTGTATACCGCAAAAGATAGAAATCCAAAAGTGGAACTTCAGATAAATCTAAAACTCCAGAGTATATCTTCCCACGGCTCAAAGCAAAAACGTTTCATATTCATCATTTCATTGTTTTCTTCTCTTTGTTCCGTACCGAGCTAAGAAAAAAACACTGGAGGAGAAACTATTAATTGGATTTCTTAAATTTATCATTTCGTTTTTTTCTTCTCTTTGTTCCATACCAAGCTAAAAGAAACACTGGAGAAACTATTAATAGGATTTCTTAAATTTATCTGACATTTCTTCTCTTTCTCTCCCCTGCATTTCAGAGCTTGTGCAAACCTTGTTACTCAAAATATTTGCACCACTTTCCGTGCATTTTCAGTCTGATTCATCTTATTTTTAATTTCACCCATCAAAAATCAGAGTTATATGGCAAAATCATCATGTAGTCCTAATTTTATGTTATTCACCAGATCTCTGCCGTTAAAGTATTGGTCCAGTTATGCGAACTTGATGACCATGTTGTGAGGGTAAGTGCAGTGAAATTGTTCCATTATCTTACAGAAGATGGGGATCACAGCACCTTCTCAGAGCACGTGAACACGAGATGTATTGAGACATTGGTAAAAATTGTTAGAACTTCCCATGATGAGGACGAGATTGTTGCAGCCATGGGCATAATCTCAAATCTTCCTCGAGATTTTCAGATGTCTCAGCAGCTTTTAGACCTTGGTGCACTTGAAATCATCTTTGATTGCCTCACTTATAGAAATACTCATGCTTCATATAAAAAAGAAGTCACTGAGAATGCTGCTCGAGCCCTTTCCCGGTTCACCGTCTCGACAAATCCCGATTGGCAGAAGAGAGTAGCTGGAGGAGGCACTATTCCAGTTCTGGTGAGTTTATTGGCCTCTGGAACTTCATTGACTAAGCAAAATGTAGCCGTTTCGCTTAAGCAGTTTTCAGAAAGTTCTAGCAACTTAAGCAAGCCAGTGAAAAACACTGGGACATTCAGTTGTTGCTTTAAGCCTCCAGAATCTAGCTGCCCCATACACCGCGGTATCTGTACTGTTGAGTCGTCATTTTGTCTTCTGGAGGCTAATGCTGTTAAACCCCTTGTGATGGTTCTTGGGGAGCCAGATTCTGGTCCCTGTGAAGCTTCATTGGATGCAATTTTAACCTTAATTGATGGTGAAAAACTTCAGAATGGTGTTAAAGTTGTTGAGGAGGCCAATGGTTTGGTTCCCATTATTAAGCTGTTGAATTCACCCTGCACTAGATTACAGGAAAAATCTCTGGAGGTTTTACAGAGAATTTTTAGAATTTTTGAATTTAAACAAAAATATGGGAATTCTGCTAAGATGTCATTAGTGGACATCACTCAAAGAGGATCAAGTAATGCAAAATCTTTGGCTGCCAAAATTCTCTCTCAGTTGAATGTACTTCATGAACAGTCTTCATTTTTTTGATTGTGATATTGAAATGAAGGTACATATTTAATTATTTACATGAACATCAAGAACAAATTTAGAGCAAATGTAATTGTCCCTTTATTAGTTGCATTGTCTGTTGGAAAATTGATACTGTATTTTATACACTTATTCAAAGTCTTAAAACAATGATATTTAGTGCTTCTTTGATGAATTATGGTCTAAATTGTTGCAATTGGTGTTGAATAAGTAAAAGTCAATCTTTGCACAAGAAAGTGGAAGAAATGAGAGGAAAATCGGCGAAAAGGGAAGATTCAAAGTTTGGAGACCAAAATGTAAATACTCAAAAGTTGTGTCGAACCTTACGATGAAGATTCGAGAGTGTTAGGAGTCAATCGGATGAGGAAAGAAGTCAAAGGAGTAAAATAGAATCGAAGTACTCTCACAAGTCAACTTACAGCCGAAAAAATTATGCGCCGAATTTTTAACCTCAAGTTAATACCCATTTTTCGGTTAGATTTGAATTGTAAAATCCAGCCAACGACTCAAACACGATTTGGGAAGGATTTTGGCGATATTCTTGACCTAAATTTGTACCCTATAAAATACTAGATGACTCCAAAACATAAGAGCTCTCTCTTTTATGAATTGAAAATAGCTAAAACACTGGTGGATTTTGAGGGAAATTGAGAGAGAATTCAAGGGAATACACATCACCAGATTTATTCTACTCATTGGAAGGAAAATAAATACAAGATGATATTTAGTGCTTCTTTGATGAATTATGGTCTAAATTGTTGCAATTGGTGTTGAATAAGTAAAAGTCAATGTTTGCACAAGAAAGTGGAAGAAATGAGAGGAAAATCGGCGAAAAGGGAAGATTCAAAGTTTGGAGACCAAAATGTAAATACTCAAAAGTTGTGTCGAACTTTACGATGAAGATTCGAGAGTGTTAGGAGTCAATCGGATGAGGAAAGAAGTCAAAGGAGTAAAATAGAATCGAAGTACTCTCACATGTCAACTTACAGCCGAAAAAATTATGCGCCGAATTTTTAACCTCAAGTTAATACCCATTTTTCGGTTAGATTTGAATTGGAGAAATGCTAATTTTAGAAGAATTGTATCCGTTTGAGTTATATTTTCAACACACTTTGAATCACCTCAATTGGATATCAAGAGAGGAAGATATGGGCAGAATATTAAAAGCTGTCCGACGAAAAAAAAAAATAGCTATGACCACATTGTAGGGAGAAATTTGGCTTCCAAACATTGAACCATGCGGTCGCATGGGTTTATACCATGGAGTAGCATGGTTGTAAAATCCAGCCAACGACTCAAACACGATTTGGGAAGGATTTTGGCGATATTCTTGACCTAAATTTGTACCCTATAAAATACTAGATGACTCCAAGACATAAGAGCTCTCTCTTTTATGAATTGAAAATAGCTAAAACACTGGGGGATTTTGAGGGAAATTGAGAGAGAATTCAAGGGAATACACATCACCAGATTTATTCTACTCATTGGAAGGAAAATAAATACAAATCCAGATTTGAAGACAACATTCAACGCATAATAACATCAAGCAATCCAAGTTTTGAAGCATTAATTGAAAGGAGGAGAAGATCTTGGTGCAAGGTTGATTTCTTAGTCTACATTCATATTCAAAACCAGGCGATGTCTTCCATTATCATTTCTTGTGTTTCTTTCATTAATATGAACAGCTAAATCTAATTTAGGGCGAACAATGTAAACAATTTGGGAACCCTTATTTCTTTTATTTGAGATTCTAGTTCTTTTATGTTTTATGTGTTGATTTTTGCTATGATTTTAATGCATTTAATTACTTGGTCACTAATTAAATGATTTTGTGAATCTTTTATGAATCGAGAGGTGAGTTTAAGATTTAGATCATATAATAAAATTCGAAAAATTAATATAACGTGTAGAGATACTTATTTTAATGGTTGTGGTCATATAGGAATTCTTAGAACTATTCTTTCATTTAACTAAATTTTATTTGCATAAAGATATGTAATTGAATTAGTTAAATAGGTTCAATGAGAACTCGAAATGAATAAATTGAATATAACAGAAGAATTCGACCGAACAATATTTTAGATTTTATGAATTTCGATATAAAATGTAAAGGTGATCAATATGTGAAATTGTTCCGTTCTAACACCCATTTATTATTTGAATTCTCCATAATTCTTTGTTGCATCCACACATTTTTTTAGTAGTTGGATTAAAAAACACAACCAATCACTGTTCCGTTTATTTTCATTAAATAGAAATTAGAAATAATAAATTGTGTGCTAAAGTATAGTTCTTGTGGGAACGATAATCTGGATTCATAGGTCCACTATATTACTTGTTACGATCCGTACACTTGCGGGATAGAATAGACAACAAAAATAAATAGTATGTAAAATATGAAATTTAGTATTTTGAGGAGAGAGAAAAAAAAAGTGATCTCTTTCGCTTCATGTATTGTTGCTAAAAGAACAGGTGTTTATTCCTATTGATATGATACTTTTTTCAACATTAATACGAACTTGATTGAGGAATGAGCATGAGCACTTGTTTGCTTGGAAATAATAATATACTCAAGCATTTTTCTTGATTTGATTTGTGATTCAGTGTGAGTTATGCGTTCCTACCAATCAATAATTCAATTATATTTAACTATCGTTTATGAGTTAAGTTCAACCAGCTCTAAGCACGACTTGATCATAGTTTTATTCTGGATTAACATGCAAAGTAACAGGTTAATTACATGATTATCTAATGATTCACATGCCCTATATGTTATTCCTAACATCTATAGTCCGTGTGTTAACATTGCAGTGTTCTAAATTTATTGTGAGTCTTTCAACACTATAACAATAATTAATTACATAATTGGTAGCCATTCAATCAAATAATGCAATGTTCATGTATGATTAATCAAGAAAAATCAAGAATACGTTAAAATGCTAGTCCTTGAATTAAAAATAACCAAAATAAAGGTTTATCATCATCCAATAATAGCAAGAATTTAGCCTAGCATGATTTCTATGATATTACAATTATAAATATGAAAAGATATCACCAAAATATATATGATTACAATAACTCTGATTTGGGATCAATTTTTTGTTCTTGACCGTCAATTCCGGTTTTGGATCTTCAATTATTGATGTATATTGCCTTTCATTACAACTTTGCTAGACTCGATCTCTATGTTATGATGTGATATGCTATGGTATGACAAGTCTCTCCAAGGTTACTTCTCTTGTTCCATATTTACAGATGTCGAATTAGGTAAAGAAATGCGTTCAAATTGGATTCCAAAAGAGTTATAATCGAATAAGGAAAATTGTAAGTCGAAAATCAACCATGCACTCACATGGTAGAACCAGAAGAGATCACACAAGCAAATTAATTTGGCCAGAGGTTGTTTGAAATGAGGCGGTGCAATCGCAACATAGAAATTTTGAGCAAATTGCATTTTAGTCCTAGATTTTGCTTCTTTATTCAGATTGAGTCCTTTCTTCGAGCAACTTTTGTTATTTGTGTTCCAATGTCATTTGTCTTCCAATTGATTCCGTATGATCTTGAATCACTATTTCATGGTCTGATCAACTTTTGAATATTTGTAATTTGGTCCCTAACTTTGAAAATTCTTTTTTTCGTCAATTTTCGTTTATTTATTTCAATTTCATTTTCAATCATTGTGTTTTATCTAACAAATAATAAATACACAAGATTAAGCCCTCGTTTGGCCCCGGTTTTCGGAAAATGAAAATGAGTGAAATAGTATTTTTTTGAAAAATGAGTGGTTGAAAAAGAATGAAAAGTTTTCGATTTACGTGTAATATTATTTTACGAAAGATTGTGTGGTTAAAAATAGGAGAGAAAAATATAATGTAATGTAATGAAATTTAATGAGAGCCAAACGAGGGCTAAGTTATAATTTCTCAAAAGTAACTCTTGAATGTCTACATTTAAAGGTATAGATATGTGTATAAAAATACATTTATCACTAAGCATTGTTCAAAATAAATTTAAGGCTGGCTAAAATTAGTTGGTCTCTTTATCAGACACCGCTAGATATGGTGGATAATAGTCAAACAAATTGAAATAATCTTCAAAAAATAGCAACATAGGTACAATCATCATATCCACATGAAAAGAAAATTTCACTATTATGATGATATGAAAAATATGGCTTAAACAGGGGCTAAATATATTTACTATAAATTTAAATATCAACTAAATCAAAGTGAAATCACAATAAACTAAAATATAGTTTTTTTTTCATTTTTGTTCACCTTTTTTAGGCTAATGACGATACAATAACGTTACAATACAAGTCTACTAAACTAGATATAAGGTCCAAAAAACATAATTATGTCCAACAAAACCTCGTGATCATCATATCTGAAAAAAAAAAAGAATACTGATTAAACAAAGAGAATAACCAACCACAATAATAAAGCAATTGTTTATAATATCTAAACATAACAATTACACAGATTTACGTTTGTATGATGTTACGAAGCACATTTAATTTCAGATTCTTACCTTAATTTGCTCCAAAAAATTATTGATCTGAAACTTTATTTGTAGCAAATATTATCATCGAAGGTTTAGGATCTCTTTGTCTCCGATTTGGTATAATGGACTTCAATTCAACTTTGAAGAGATGTGAAAAATCTGAAAAAGAAGTGTGTGGTGCCGGTGGCTCAAAACTGTGTTGGATATCGACTGGAGTTCATCTAAATTTTGAAAAGGAAAAAGAGTTTTGATAGATTATGTTAGTTTTGAAATTATTAAATATATATTAGGATTATTGGATGATGATGATGATAATAATAATAATAATAATAATAATAATAATAATAATAATTCTGTATTAGAAAATTAGAATTGACAAAAATACTCACAAATGACAAAACTATTGAATTTTGCATATTTGAATGAATTTTCAAAAAAATTCATTTGTTTATTTTTATATATTTTTTCTCCAGTCCGGTTTGGTTTTAAATAGCAATTTAAATTCTCAAACTTAAACCAAACCATTTTGACCGGTTTGGTTTGGGTCAAAACCATTTTGTTGACCGGGTCTACGTGACACCAAACCGACGGTTTCTAAAATGCGGTTTCAGTTCGATTTTTCGAT